TGAGCGGCTTATATAGATGGAGATGGAGGACAGAGGAGGAAGAGGAAGCGTGCCTCGCCGCCCGCTCAGATAGATAGAGGCTGGCTAGTGAGCCTGTGCGTGGTGCTGCAGCGGCACCTAGCTAGCCCAGCCAGGGAATAACAATATTAGGTATGTAGAGGGAGAAAGGTAACCAGTGCAAAGGGGAACGAATGGATGAAGAAACTGGTGGAATGTGCATTGTGGATGCATGCCTCCTCCTCCTGCTGCTATTGCTTGTAGTGGAGATCGAGCTTGCAATTTATTCATGCTCCCACAATGCACTCACTCTCTTTCTCACACACACATGTGTGTGTGTGTGTAAATACTAAATATTAATATTTGTTGTGTGCATCTATATGTATAGATATAAATTTTGTTAGAAAAAATGGAATGTCTTCGGTCACTCCAGCCACACACACATCGTCTTGGGTTTTTCTACTTTTTAATATAACAAACAACTCGCCCGCCGCTTCCTTAAAAACAATATATATAGATATATTTTTTTTAGAAAATGGAATGTCTCTGGTCTGTGCGGTCGGTCGCAGGCAGACACAGAGCCAATGTGTAGATAGATATATATTCTTTTGAGAAATAGCGCGTCTTCGATCTCTACTATTGCACTCCACGCGCTCAATGTATAGATAGATGCTGCACGCCGCCGAAATATATATACATAGATATAGATATTGATAAAATGTGCTCAGGCACGTTTGCAGAACACTAAAAAAAATGTGTATAGATAGTGATGAATTACTCGGTTGAGTCAGAGTTGGGTTTTGCAAGGCCGGTCGCTTTTATTTATTTGTTGGCATGAGAAAGGAAAGTGGGGGCCGGGCGTTTTACATTGCTTTCGTGATTCGTGCATGCCGTGCCATCTTTCTGGCGAAAAGACAGGTGGATCCATGGATGGATGGCTCAGGGACCGCCGCCCTGTTCGCTTGGTATTTTCCGTTAGAATAATATTTTTTTCTCACTCCAAACCAGCCAACAGTAATAATCCACGATCGTATACGATCGTTTCAACTCGAACCGAACAAGAATTCAGCAGGCCGCAGGGCGACCTGGGTCTGTCTATGCAAGCAACGCAACGCAACGCAACGCCTGCTAGTGCTGCTGGCTCATCGTCATCAGCTGCGTGCGTGCGTGCAAACCGTGAGCTTGGATATATGATCGGAGGATTAGTGGTGCCGTAAAACACCCTTGTTAAGTTAAACAATCCTTGTTAGTGCAGTGCGCTAGGTACGTTACAGTTACAGGTCACTGCGTGCATGTGTGTAATGCACCAATGCTGCATGCTTTACACGTCTCGATCGCATGTCAATTGGATCGATCGCCGATGGTGGTGGTGGTGGACTGGTGGTGCATGCAGCTGCAGGCCGGCCGGGGGCGAGGCTCTGACGTGGCGGTGACGCCGCAACAGCATGCGCACCTGAGTCCTTTTTTTTATATATAGATCAATTAACAAACTCGATCGTTAGTTCTTGGGATTGATTAATTACTGTTGCGTTCACACGGTTTTTAGCATGCATGCATGTGTGTTTTCAGAGGCCGGGCGGCCGGCGGATGGGAGCACGAGCAAGAGGTGAAAAAGCGGATCGGAGTCGGAGTATACCAACAACTCGGATGGTGACACGACGGTCACAACGAGCGAGCGACATACAGTGAGAGCAGGCGCCGAGGCCCGTGGCCCGTGGCCCGACCTGTTCATGTCCCGCTGAACTAATACCGCGCTGACAAGCGGGCCCGGCTTGTAATCGATTTTACGCACCCACCCAACATGCACCCAACGGTACATGAGGCCATGTGTGCCCTTACCCTTTAAGGGCAAAACTTTCACGTTCTATTTTTTTGTGTGAATTAATATTGACTTTGTGTAAGTGTGAAGAAGAAATTAACTTTGTATAGTATAGTAGTTGCCAATGACGAGGTTATCGCCCTGCCACCCCGAGACCCGAGCAACTACTCGGGCTCGGCCAGTGGCGAAGCCAGAAGTTCTAATTGGAGGAGAGGGAGGGGAGCGGGGGAGGGAGGCATTTACTTTTCTGTTACATGATAAATTAACTAGGTCGTTGAGGGGTGTACTAGAAAAATAACCAAGTTAGGGTGAGGTGGGGGAGGGAGGGGGCAGACTCCAGCTCCTCTATGTCTTCGTCTTCGCCCCAGGGCTTGGCGAATTGCGCAAAGAAATACGATAATGATATGCCACGGTAGTCTGTCCGTGACTCCCATCCAGATGCAGGTAGCGGCTCCGCAGGAGCGGGCCCCATCTCTCTCAAAAACAGAAAAATGAATCCCCACTCGCTGTGCCCTTCCCCTACTGTCCCATGCCCCATCGCAGGCCGCGCCACGCGCCTGTCCCAGTCACCTGTGCTGCTCGCTCCCTCGCCGTTCGTCTGTCCATCTCCCATCGCCATCGCGCACGTCGTTGACCCCGCCATGGCCAGGGCGCACGTGCCGTGACGCCTCAAGTCTTCCCCAGTCGAGCCAAGTGCACCCACAAGCACGGGCGGTGTTGGTGGTGCTCGCGCGCCGCGGCTCACCGCCGGTCCCACTCCGACGGTCGAAATCGACCGGCCCGTCCTTCCCTTCCCCTATGTTGCATATGCATGAGTGTTTCAGACGTTTCAGATGTATGTTGCAATTACTTCATCTTGATGTTGCAAAAGTAGATCGGGATGTTGCATATGTTGCATGTGTTGCAAGTGTTTCAGAGATGTTGCAATCGTTTGTTCAAAATATTTTATCTGTTTTCATACGTATGTAGTTGCAATAGTGTGTTCGAAATGTTTCAGTTGTTTTAGTCTGATGTTGCAGTAAGTGGTTTCATGTTGCAAATGTTTTATGTTGGATGTTTCATGTGTTTCACACATGTTGCTAGAGCATGTTCCAAATGTTTCATTTATTTCTGTCTTATGTTGCATTCATGTTGCAAGTGTTTTATGTTGTTCGGCTGGGGGCGAACCGGGAGGCGGCTGACGGGGCACGCGGCGCGCCGAGGGGCCGGTGGATGGGGGTGTTGGGTGCTAGCAGATGGGGGGCGCTGGGGGTGTGCTCATCCTCAGCCCCTCGTCCCGGCTCCTGTGTGTCGCCCGCGTGGATAGTCGAAGAGAGAGAGAGAGAGAGAGAGGGGTCAGGTGAAAGACTGGCAGGCCGCGCACTCGTGGGGCGGGACGAAGGCGGATGGGGCGGGCTACGTGACGTTCGGACACTAGCCACGCTCAAAGAAAAATTGTGTATATATATATCAAAGAAAAAACATTTGTGCATAATGAAAATCGTCAGAGCAAAGCTTCGATCCTAAAAGTTTTTGGCTGCGTCAGTGTGCGTGTGTGACTGGTGATGTTGTAGCGTCCCGCGATTTCCCGCAACCGAAAATGTGCTGTTGCCACATACGTACAGCCTATGCTACGCGCGGCATGGGCGCATCGCACAACATCGTGTTCGATCTGGCTGCTTAGAGCAAGTCCAACAGTTTGGCAATTGGGTTTGGCATTCTTATTTTTTGCCAAAAACCTCAAATTCTCCTATCCAACAGTTTGGCAATTAGGCTTGGCATTTTTATCAACTTGGCAAACACCGGTTGTTTTCCGCGCATATATGCGCGCGATCGGTCCGCTTGGCAATCGATAGCGCACGCTACTCCCACGCTATTTCCCCCCCTCGCGCGCGATCTTTCCCTTCCCACGCCACCGGCTTTGTTTCCCGCGAAACCCCAGGACTCTGATCGAGGGAATATCTCACGCCGCCAGCCCTTCACGCGGAACCCGAAGACCTTCACGCGAAACCCAAGGACGCAAGGCGATCTTGACTTCTTCTTGTTCACACCCCGTGAGGTTCCATCTTCATCAACGTCCCAAAGGGTTGAGGTACTCCATGATCCACTCATTCAATTGTTTGTATACGATTTATATCGTTGCTAGCTAGGGTTCTGTGGGGAGGGGATGGGCTGATGTGCTACGGTTCCCAAATAGTAGCGTTTGTCGTAGAATTGAACAAAGTTTTTTTGTAGCTGAGCGAAATTGTTTGTAACATATGTCTACATATGGTCCTTCGATCTGTATTTTTTAGTCAGTGCGAATATATATATTGTCTTTGATCTTCTATTCGTCTTAATTTGAGACACAACATTTGTCATTCTCTTTTTTTAGATTCGGTCATATGGAAGATCTTGGATTGTATGTGGGCATACTCACATCAGCTGGTCATCATGTTCCTGGCTTGGACGAATTGACCTTTCCGGTCACTCAAGACACTCAGGAAACTAATAATGATCTTCCTTTTGAAGTTCAACATGATGTTGTGGAAGTGCAGGCATCTGAAGTTGCTGTTCGCCGTCATACTGCAAAGGGTGCGTCACATAGGTCCAAAAAATTTGATCAAAAGGAAGATGTAATTATATGCTCAGCTTGGTTGAATGTTAGCAAAGATCCTATTCATGGGGCCAATCAAACTCGTTTATCATTTTGGAGAAGAATTCATGATTTCTTTGAGAAAAATAAGGAAACTCCAGCTGTCAGGACAGAGAGTTCCATTATACATAGGTGGCTCACTATTCAGAAGGACATCAACAAGTACTGTTCATGCTACGAGGCAATTGAGCGTAGGAATCAAAGTGGAGCAACTATCCAAGACATGGTTTGTTTCTGTAGTTGGTTCTTTTATTTGTTTTCAATATTTGGTTCATCTGTGAATATATTAACATTTAAATGATTTTATTTGTGTAGATTAGTGAAGCATCTGAGATGTACACATGAGTAGACGAGGAAAAGAAGTCGTTTACTCTTATGCACTGTTGGAAAAGGTTGAAGGATGAAGACAAGTGGAAGTCAAAGATGATTGAGCTGGCTGAGCAGCAGAAACAAGCCACAAAGAAGAAACAGAAGACTAATAAGGAGTCCATGCCGAGCAATGTAGAAGCCAACAACAATGATGATCTACAAGAGATTGCAGCCCCAGGTTCTCAAGAATGAAAGAGGCCAATGGGTCAGAAGCAGGCAAAAGAAGATAGGCGGGGAGGCGACGACGCTTGCATTGTAGCTTTGGATAAGATGTGGGAGAAGAAGGAGGTTTCTGACTGGGAAAGAGACAAGCAGAGAAAGGAGAGGTACATGGCTGCAATTGAGGTAGACAAGGCTGCACTTGAGGTACAGAAGGCTTCACTTGAGCTTGAGAAGAAGCGATTGTCAAATGAAGAAAAAAAGTTGAAGCGGACTTGCTGAAGGAGGAGAAAGAAATAATGTTAGTGGACTTGTTGTAATCATGACCATTAATGGTGTAGTTCACCTCTGGAGCTATACCCTCCGCCAGGTTTGCAAATAATGAAGACTGGTGAAGGACATTGATATCATTATGAGAACCAGGCATCCCAAAAAATGCATGCCATATGCAAAGGTCGTGAGACGCAACAGCTTCTAAAATGACAGTTGGCTTGTTCACATGCCCCTTGTATTGACCCTGTGATTCAACTGGACAATTTTTCCACGCCCAATGCATACAATCAATGGACCATAACATTCTAGGGAAACCTCTTTTCTCATTGAGTGCCAGTAAGCGTGCAGTGTCAGCCTCATTGGGATGTCTCAGGTATTCCTCTTCAAATATTTCTACAACTACAGCAACGAACCTACGTAGGCTCTCAAGTGCGGTGCTTTCGCCAATGCGAACATACTCATCTGTGGCATCAGCAGGAACCCCATATGTGAGCATACGAAGAGCGGCAGTGACTTTTTGGCCAACGTCTGTCAAGGATATTCAGAAGCTCGCGGCATCAAACCCAGCCTCGACAAGGTCTCCACCATCACCAACATGAAATGGCCAACGTCTGTCAAGGATATTAAGAACCTTACGGGTTGCATGGCTGCTCTTAGCCGCTTCATATCGTGCCTCGACGAAAAGGGTCTACCGTTCTTCAAACTCCTCAAGGCTTCCGAGCACTTTTCCTGGTCAGAGGAAGCAGATACAGCTTTCGAGCAGCCCAAGTTGTTTTTAACAAAGCCTCCGATCATGACGGCGCCTTAGCCAGACAAAACTCTACTAATCTACATCGCCGCCACTTCTCGCATCGTTAGCACAGCTATCATCGTCGAACGTGGGGAGGCCGGGCATGCCTATAAGGTGCAATGTCCAGTCTATTTCATCAGCGAGGTCCTTAATGAGCCCAAAACTCGTTACCCCCAAGTTCAGAAACTGCTATATGCTATTCTGATGACATCACGCAAGCTCCGCCATTACTTTGAGTATTACAAGATCGCCGTGGTTACTGAGTTCCCTCTGGGTGACATTCTCCGCAATAAAGAGGCTAATGGTTGCATCATCATGTGGGCTATTAAGCTCGGCACTTACTCCATTGAGTTCAGAAGCAGGCCTACCATCAAGTCACAGACGCTCACTGACTTTGTCGCTGAGTGGATCGAGATCCAAGAGCCCATCTCCGCTACATGCCCCGAGCACTGGGTGATGTACTTCGATGGCGCCCTCAACATCAACGGTGCTGGTGCTAGCATTCTGTTCATTACGCCAACCAAGGATAAGCTCCGATATGTTCTTTGAATACATTTTCCGGCCTCCAACAACGCCATCGAATACAAAGCATGTCTCCACGGACTCCGTATAGCCGTTGAGCTCGGCGTCAAACGCCTCATGGTATACGGGGACTCCGCGCTGGTCAGCAACCAGCTCAACAAAGACTGGTCCTACTCCAGTGAGAAGATGGATGCATACTGCGCCAAAATCAGGAAGCTTGAAGGGAAGTTCTACGATATCGAGTACCACCACATGGTACGAGATCAAAATCAGCTCACCGACCACCTGTCCAAGTTAGGCTCCTCTCACGCCATGATTTCGCCTAGGGTCTTCATTCAAGATCTTTTGGCGCCATCCATTAAGGAAGAGAAGGAAGTTTAAGAGATTCCCCCTACCGAGCAGCTGGTACTTATAGTACCTTCGCCGATCGTCGATTGGAGGGAACAGTTCATCAAGTACCTCACCAGTGCCGAAGTACCCACCGACAAGACTGAAACCGAACACCTAATCCATCGAAGCAAGCATTACGTGCTGGTGGACGGCAACTTGATGAGGAAAAGTGCTAAGGAAGGGATACTGCAGAAATGCATCACCCAAGAAGAGGGAGTGAAGCTACTTCTCGAAATTCACTCTGGTTCCTACGGCAACCATGCGGCCTTGAGAAACCTGGTCAGCAAGGCTTTTCGAGCTGGTTTTTATTGGCCGACGGCCATCTCAAAAGTAGAAGACCTCGTCCGACGTTGTGAAGGATGCTAATTTTTCACCAAGCAAATACACGTGCCGGCACAAGAACTGCAGACCATCCTAGCTTTCTGGCCCTTCGCATGCTGGGGACTGGATATGATCGGGCACTCCAAGCCAGCGCCAGGTGGTTTTTGGTATGTGTATGTCGCCATTGACAAGTTCTCCAAGTGGATCGAATACAAACCGCTTGTTTCAGCCACTACAAAGAAAGCAGTCGAGCTCTTCAAAGATATCATCCATAGATTCGGTCTCTTGAACAGCATTATCACTGACCTCGGAACTACATTTACTGGCCATCATTTTTGGGACTTCTGTGAAGACCGATGCATCTCCATCAAATACGTCTCCTTTGCCCATCCTAGAGCCAACGGCCAGGTCAAACGGGCGAACGGTATGATCCTTGATGCCCTAAAAAAGAGGCTATATCAAAAAGAAGAAAAGCATTTGGGCAGATGGCTCAAAGAAGTACCAGCTGTGGTCTGGGGACTACGCACTCAAGCTAGTCATAGCACCAGTATGTCTCCATATTTCTTGGTCTATGGCTCAGAAGCCATACTACCAGCGGACATTGCCTTCCGAGCATCTAGGGTGGAACATTATGATGAAGAGCAAGCCGCAGCTGTTCAGACAGAGGACGTCGACAGGGCCGAGGAAGAATGCCTGATCAACTGCGTCCGCACAGCCAAATACCTAGAAGGCTTGCGGAGATACTACAACCGCAACATCAAAGGTCGTTCATTTGCTGTCGGCGACCTCGTTCTCCGCATAAAGCAAAAAACCAAAGGGATGCACAAGCTCTCCTCCCCCTAGGAAGGGCCTTACGTCGTCAAAGATGTTACCCGACCGGGGTCTTATTGGCTATGTGATTTGGACGGAATCGATATCCCCAATTCATGGCACATCGAGCACCTTATACATTTCTATCCTTGAAATGCTCCAGATATGTATTCTCTACTCCATGATGAATAAAGTTTTGGTCGCCGTAATTTGTCTTCATTATTTCTCCATTATGATTTAATCTCCACTTACGGTGGCCGAGCTCTAAGCTACTCCTTAACGAACTCCAATACGTGATCACCATAAACACTCCGCCGCGTTTCTCCATATCTTCGAAGTGTTTCGCCAATCGTCGAGCAGAACACGTTTTGTTCTGTGCTCTATGGAGAAGACCCAGTCTCTGATCTCTCCCTATACGTGCTATGGGCTCCGCGCTCTGCGTTATGGGTGGTTGACTGTGGTTCCTTGGTCACGCCTGTTCCTCCTACATGTGCACGGGCTCCGCGCTCGATGTTATGCACTATGGGCTAGCCAAGGCTAAGAGCACAGTAAAGAACTAACTGCTCGGATGCCACTTACACTACGTATATCTCCAAGTTAATTCGCCAACCGTCGAGCAGCACACGTTCCGCTCTGTTCTCTATGGAGAAGACCCAGTCTTCGATCTCTCCCTACACGTGCTACGGGTTCCGCGCTCTGCGTTATGGGTGGTCGGCTTCCGTTCCTTGGTCACGCCTATTCCTCCTACACGTGCATGGGCTTCGTGCTCGATGTTATAGACTATGGGCTAGCTAAGGACAAAGATTTTAGTAACAAACTAACTGCTCAGACGCTACTTATACTGTGTATAATTGCGTTAGGGTTAATACTACAAGGATTTCTTCACCGCAATACTAGCAAACTGCATAAACATGCACATGTCAACATTTATACATATACATCAATGTCTGTCTGCGCCCTTGCATGTTTTAACTACTCTATTCAGTTATCACAGCATGTTCTCCAAGTAGATCATTGGGTTCGCCATCGCCGAACAGGTCGATGTCACTGGCCAGCTTCTTCGCCGCGTCTTCCACCTCATCTTCTAGCTGCTGGTGCTCCGTCGCACCCACTCCTCTGGTGAATCCGGCCCCTATTTCTTGAAGGTCAACGGTAGGGTAATGGGACCGGACCACCGCCAGGGCGTGTGTAACGGCGGTGATGATGGCATCGTGGTTGAAGCTCTTGAAGTTCTCCCACACCGCCTTGCACCTTTCGATGATAGTGTCCGAACGCGACGACCTACCATTGGGCTGAGGAGCCACCTCTAGGTCGATGTAGTCGAGCACCAGTTTGACTCCGACGACTATGGCGTCGAACTTGTTCCTCTAGGTCCTGGCCTCCTGCTCCAGCACATCAAACTGCGCCTTGATCCTCCGACGGTAGTCTGCAAGCATTACAAGATTCCATCAGGCAAGAAAATTACTCCAACAGTAACTCTGGCCCCTATCGCCCTGACTCCTTCACCTTCTCCTCTCGGAGTTGCTCGATGGCTTGGCGTAGCTGGCCGAGCTCCACATCTTGCTCTACAAGCACAACAGTCGTCAGCAAAAGTATGGATGTTCAACAATGCAAAGCACATTCGCCAGTACGCCATACCTATTTTCTGCTCGGATACGTTCCTGAGCTGCTCGGACTTCCACTCTAGTTGCTCGAAAGCACTCGACAACCACTCGGAGACAGTCGCCAGCTGCTTGGACTTGCCTCATAGCTGCTCGGACACGGTCGCTACCTGCTCGGATAGGACGCCCTTCTGGTATTCTAGGTTCTGCGCGTTGGACTCATCAAGGTCTCGCACGCGCTGGACCCTCTGGATGTTCTTCCCCATAAGCTTCATCGCCTCTTTGAGTTTTTCATTCTCCTCGGTGAGGGGCTCCATCCTCTTGATCAGCTGGCGGCGTTGTTTAGTAGTCCAAGTTATCCCCTGCAAAAGCGCCAAGATTATGAAGAACAATCTCCAACGTCAAAGACAAGCTTTCCAGGTGCAGTACTGACCTTGATTTGTTTCATCACTTCGGCAAGAGCGGACTCCAGTCTTCTAAGCTCTGTGGTGGTGTCCTCCTCAACAACCACCACCTCGTCGCTGCGCTTGCAGAGGATTCGGATAGTTTGGGGTCGAGATTCCTCACGTTCGATC